TGTATGTATGTATGTATGTATCTATGTATATATATATATATGTGTATATATATATATATATGTGTGTGTGTACGTGTGTGTAAATATATATATATATATATATATATATATATATTTATGTATATGTATGTATTATATACATATATAGGTATATAAATATATGCATGTATATATAAATGTATATGTATATGTCTATGTATACGTATATGTATATGTATATGTATATGTATATGTATATGTATGTGTATATGTATGTGTATATATATATATACGTACATACACACAAGTGTATGTAAAGACAAATACTGATGTGTAAATGTTAATATAAAAGTACGTACACCCCCACGGCCTCCCCCCCTTTAGGGTGGAGTGCGGTGTCCTCCTCCTGTGGGGTGGCTCTCGGGTTTAGGGTTTAGCTTAAGCTTTTGAGTCTTGAATTTAGGATTTAGGTTTTACTTCGAGTCGACAAGGGCTTAGGGAGGGTTTGGGGCGTAGTTTCGTTAGGGTTGACGGTAAGCCTGCATTTGGGCGGGGTTTGGGTTGGGTGTAGAGTTTGAAGTAGAGGTTAAAGTTAAAAAAGAGGAGTGCACACTACGTTATAAGGTTTATGGCTTGTGTTGGGGAGTTGATGGGTGTCGATGGGAGTGGTGGTTGATGGCGTACTGGAGGGTGGGTCAGCCGCGTGATTGTGCTGGGGACGTAAAATTCCAAAGGACCAGGAGATTCGAGTGGGGGGGAGGTGGGGAGATGGCGGCACTCGATGGGTGTCGATGGGGGGTTTGATGGGGGTATAAGATGCTACTACAATGACCAGGAGATTCGACGGGGAGAAGGGATGGTGGAAAAAATGGATGCAGAGCACCGGAACGAATCGCGCCAACGTCGGTTTAGTCTTGTTCACTCCTGCCAGTGAGGTCGGCAGATATATGTATATCTTTCTTGTTTGTTTATCTATCTACCTGTCTTTCTACCTATCTATCTCCCTACTTACATACCTACTTATCTATCTACCTCTCTCTCCCGAATATCGCAAACTGCGTTCAGTTCCTACTGTAAGAAGAGCCCACCCACAACACATCCACACCCTGTTTGAGCATGTCTGGAGCAGGATCGAGAGAAGGCCACAACACCAAAACCTGCGGACCCGAACCGGCCGCACCGACTGCAACTGCCCATGCAAAGCCTGCCGCCCGATGTGCAGCAAACCCGGCAACAGGTTCAGGGTTTAGGGTTGATGTGGGCGAAGGTCTAGGGTTTAGGAGTGGGGGGGGGGGGTGCGCAGGATCGCGAGGTTTTACAGTCGAGGCTTTTGAGGGGCTTGTCTTTTGGGTTTATATTGTCGGGTGGTGGGCGGGAAAGGCTGAGAGGAGCGGCCGCAAACGTGCAAACGCAGCCTGCCCTGCTTGCCTTCGATGTTGAGCATTCTGCATCTTATAGCTTCCGTAAGAAATCATGGCACCTAGATACACAAGGCTGGACTTCAAAGGCAATGTCCATGTGGAGTCAAGGAGCTTCGTGCCTTTGGGCTAAACCTGCTTGTGCACAATCTTGCGCATGATCGGTGGCACCTGAACACCTTCCACTTTCAACAGACAAACCGTTTTGTCCCAACTCAGCTGAAACCCATGCTCCCAAGTAAGCTCAGAGCTTTCCCCGCATCCCGGAGTGCTCGAAACAATTCCTTGAACTCCCCTCGCAGGTGTACATCGTCTTCTTTGTCAGTTCTTGTAAGAACCCTCCAGTACCCCCATCAACCCCAGCACATCGACACCCAGCGGCCCACCGCAATTTCTCCCCCCTTTGAATCTCCTGGTCCGCTGAGTAGGTTCTTACTAAAATACCAGCTTTACTCGTCCCAACAGTAACCATGCGGCTCACCCGCCTCCCGTACCCCCATCAACCCCCCTATTGACACCCTTCGACCCCTACCACCTCTCCCCCCCACCCCGAATTTTCCTGGTCCTTTTAGTAGGGCCTTGTTGACACCCTCCAGTACCCCCATCAACCCCCTGACACCCATCGAACCCCACCACCATCCCCCAAGGTGGGACTACCGCAAACCCTGACTACTATATACTAAACATACTATAAGTACTTGATATAATATATACACTAATATAGTACATGTGTGTGTATATATATATATATATATGTGTATGTGTGTAAACATGTCTATATGTATACATATATGCACTCCTAAGTCCTACATGTCTACAAATACATAGAGAGAGAGATGTGCCAAAAAATCATCTAAACATGTGCATACATTCGCATATGTGTATGCCGATGGACGCGGGTGTTTTCAAAAAACCTGTGCAGATATATATATATATATATAGAGAGAGAGAGAGAGAGACATATAGACATATAGACATGTTTGTTTCCAGATCCAGAACTTTTGGAAGGTTCGGCCTTCTGGCTGCGGAGCCTCCGGCAGCGAAGCAGAAATTCCTCGAAGTCACTTGGGCCACAGGAGGAACAAGTAAATCTTGATGTTGGTAGGGTTCTAGTATGCGGCTTGGCCGCCGTTTCCGATGGTACTAAGATACGACCCGTGCCATGTTCCAATCTTTTGCATACTCCCGATCTGGTGCCTCAGGATCGGAAGCCCAGAGAACGCCAGACGGATCTTCGTCCGGGAGGTCCTGCCATCGAAGAAGCTTTCCAACATCTCCATGCAAAGATCCTTGGAGAGGCGCCGTCCTCAACCAGGAGGATGGGCTGGTCTTCCAGTATCACCTTCGACGGCATCGTCGGCAAGCAAGATATCGCAGACAGATTTGGTACGAAGTCACCAGCCTCGCCACGGCCGATGCACTCATCAGCCACAAGCTTACCTGCAGCCTTGACGATTTCACGCAAGCAAACAACACCCTCCAAGCCAACGAATCAAGATTCTGAAATTCTGCCGAAAGTCTATCTACCGTGGTTCCGCACAACAGACTGTTGCAGTGTCGAGCGCTGAGGTGACGGCTGTGTCATAACTTGTTGCGGAATGCATCATCACAAGTTTGCGTCGCAGGTGCAGGCCTGTCGGTGTGGTGACATGCACTTGTCAAGGATCGGTGCACCCTTCCTGGTCTCATCGAGGACACGCTGCGCCGGGTTGTCTCTGAAGCCACAACTGCCACAGCCTCGGGAATCTTCCAAAGCCGGTTCAGCAGGCAGAAAACTGCTCGTTACGATCATTCAGTCGAAACTTCATTCTCCACGCCCCTTCTGGAGTTTTTGGCATCCTTTGAACTGTCCAGAACCCCTCTCCGACACCTGCAAGACTGGAGAAACAGACGGAATGGTCCGTGCCCGTTCCAAGACTCCCTTTCCGAGCATGCTGTGACACTAAGGCAGGATTCATGCGGAGCGCGACTTAACATGCTTTTCTGACCGGCAGCCGGCTGCGCCGCTTTGTCTCATTCGAGTCTAAGCCCGAAGTTCCCAACCTGCAGGCGAGAGCCTCCTTTCCTCTCAGAGCCGGGCTGGCACGCTCCAGACGCCATGGGAGACACTCAAAGGTCGCCGATGAGACCGTGACCGGCATCCAGCGATGCCTGGGCCTGGATCTGCCTCAGAGATAAAGGGAGCCGTGCACCCAAACGACACACAAAGAGCGCAAGAAGGCGAGCAGCTAGTACGTACACTTGAGACACACGCGGACGCACTTGAGACACACGCGGACGGCGAGAATAGTGTATCACATACCGCCGGCATTGCACGTCGGTTGCACTGAAGAAACAGAACTCCCGTCAGACACGGCATATCTGAAATCAACAAGGGCGGCAGAGAGTATCCAAACTACTGACGAGCGCAGCATCTGGGCGGTGCCAGTTGGACACAGCACCGGAAGCTTAAGCTCACCACATTTACACAAGCGCGATGCCATGATTTGCACAGGACGCCTTGTCCAGCAAACATGAAGACGTATGGATACCAAGCAGGTCAACACTAGGTAGTGAGAACATGATATTACGATCGGCAGAAGCAGCTGTCGATCGCCGTGCAGGATACATGAATATGCATGCTGAAACGTATTCTAGGACCTTGAGACGAGGACGGCGAACGACAACAACAGGATGCAGTGCACTGTCCGATGCTGCGTCTTCGTGCCAAAAGCTTGATGCCTTTGCGTGTTCACATCATAATCTAGGACATGACAAAGAGTGTCTTGCAAGCTCTGCCCTCAAGCCGGTGCAGTCCAAACCCAGCACCAACGCATCAAACTCCTACAGAACCTAAGGCTCCACAGAGAAGTCTTGCCGGGAAGCCCTCCTTTACGTGGCCTGCATGTCGAGGAAGTCGTCCGGAGGATTGGCCTGCTTGGCCTGCCCAAGAAAAGCTTGGAGATGGGGAGCGTCTTTGACCCAGGATTCTCACTAAGGCAAAGATGTTCAGACATGTTTCGGGTTGCCAGTGGAACTTCATGGCTTGAAGCTTGGAAGTCGAATCTTGTGGTTTCTGCTCGGGAATTCGGAGCGAATAACAGCGAGTTCATACAGAGCAGGACACCCAAGACAGCCTCGTGTCTTGATGACCTGCAAGGCCAACACAAAACACAAAGCCGTGGTGTGATTTTTTCGGGATTGCACTCAAAAAGCAAACTTGTTGAAAATGGCAAGCTCAGTTCGCAGCTCTTGGGACATCCCAACTGCAGCACGCAGAATTTGAGAAGTAGTAGTAGCAGTAGTCGTCGTCGTAGTCGTAGTCGTAGTCGTGGTCGTGGTCGTAGCCGTAGTCGTAGTCATACTGGTGGTGCTAGTAGTAGTAGTAGTAGTAGTAGTAGTGGTAGCAGTAGTAGTAGTAGTAGTAGTAGTAGTAGGAGAAGTAGTAGGAGTGGTAGTAGTGGTAGTGGTAGTAGTAGTAGTAGTAGTAGTAGCAGTAGTAGTAGTAGTAGCAGCAGTAGTAGTAGGGGTAGCAGTAGCAGTCGCAGTAGCAGTAGCAGTAGCAGTAGCAGAAGCAGTAGCAGTAGCAGCAGCAGCAGCAGCAGCAGCAGCACTAGCAGCAGCAGCAGCAGCAGCAGCAGCACTAGCAGCAGCAGCAGCAGCAGCAGCAGCAGCAGCAGCAGCAGCAGCAGCAGCAGCAGCAGCAGCAGCAGCAGCAGCAGCAGCAGC